AATTTTAGCTTTTGTCACACAATCATATTTATATAGTCCATTACTTTCTCCCAAAACTTGATAAGCACAGGACATTGTAGAAACATATGCTTTAAAGAGGCATAGTCCTTATTACATTTTCAACAAAATGCTGTTTCTGACAATCCTTTTCTATACAGACGTAGTAGAGTCCAATAGATTCTAAATATTATTTTTTGTTGTATAAGTCGTAGTTTAAGGTCCTTGCTATAGAAGTTAAAACACTCTCCCATTATGTAGGCAATATAGAAACCTCTAATTCTTTATTCCACTCATCCCTTAACATCTGCATATCAAATTGATTTATTGATAACAAATATCTATAAAAACTGATGGTTTTTTAGTTTTAAAGGATTTGACAAGTTGTTCTAATATCTAAGGTGTCTCAGAAGCTGAAAATGCTGCTGGTCCAAATAATGTTAATAAATGTTGTAGCTGTAAATATTGCCATTGGGTTACATCTGATAGATGATATTTATCTCTTAAAACAGAGTATGTTAAAAATTAATCTTTATCGTCTATCAGTTGGTCCAAAGTCAATATCCCCGCTTTCATCCAATTTTTCCATATCACCATCTTTTTCCCAATTTTTAAAGTTGGGTTTCCCCATAAAGTCAATTTGGCATGGGAAAAAGGGTCAAAGCTTTTTTTATTAGACATTATGTTCCATAGCTTTCTAACTAACAAAATTGTCTCCAGAGATATTAGAGTTTTAGTATATTTCGATTCTAATACTGTCCATCTGACCAAAGGTGTTATATACAGTATGTATATTCCAAAGTTGTCCAAATCGGAAAATTAGCGCCACTTGATTTCCAAATCGGAAATATTAGCTTCCAATATTTAACACAGTACTTAACAATAGGTAAGCATGATGATATAGCTCCAGATTCAAAATACCAAATCCTCCCTCATTAATTGATAATTGACTTATCTGTAAAGATATTCTCGGAACTGAAGAACCCCATAGCCATTTTCTAAACAAAAATTTTATCACTGGCATTTAATCAGGCTTACATTACGGTTATACCAAAAGCATGTAAAGCAGTGTGCTAATTATCATCCAATCTTATTGATTAATATCAACACAAAGACTTTAACAGCAGTGTCATCAAAAAGATTTTAGCAAGTGATATCGTTCATTATTAAGAATGATCAAGTGTAACGAGCTGCCACCTGTTGATCCCAAATCCAGTAACTTTCCTTGCAACCAATATT